AGCAAAAACACACAATTTTTACACAAAGAAAAACACCCCAGGCCAGAATCGAACCCAGGACCCAAGAGCTGTGAATGCACCCAGTGCTAAAGACCACAAAACAATGCCACCCTTTGCATGTGCTGCTTTCTTGAAAAAAAAAATACTGTTCTTGAAAAAAAAACAATTTATCTCTTACTATAAATATTAATAGGTTGTCAGAGGAAAAAATAAAGGTGTAACCATGTTGCTTTGTATTTTTGCCCATTTTACTGTGCGTCAAACAATCTGTACAGATTAAAAGCAGAGTGTCTTGCATTGTACCTGTACCTTAGATCAAAATAGAGATAAGAAAGGGTTGACAGCTGTTCGATTTGGAAAAGCTTTGTCCCACAGTGACGCTAAACTGTCCAGCCAATTATTCGCTTTGAACTGATGCCCTGCTGTGTGTTCAGTGGGCTGATTGTAGTGCTACCTTCTCCATTGAAAGGGAAGGCTGCTCAATGCCTGTGATGGTCCCGTCAATAGAGACTGTGGACACGGAGCTCATCTGCCTTTGTTTTGCCTGACCTCTATTGTGTGCTGACAGGCCCTATGGCTGTGGATGAGTTTGTCGTTAGAGGCAGTAAATCGTCAGGCCGGCCAGCACTCTAAAAATAGATCAGCTCTCTGCTACAGGACCCCTGCCGGGATAATCAGCCACTGATGAGGTCACTGGGAAGGCATGGGAGAGGGGTCAGTAAAGGTCAATTATGAGAGAGGAAAATATGTTATCTCTGCATAGTGAGGGTGTTAAGGGATAAGAACAGAGGGGCTAAATCCAGAGCCCCCTTCAGCCCTGCAAGGAAACACAATTCAGTGTTTGTCACTACAGTAAGTTTTTCTTTCCATTTCAAATGTATTGCTCCTCAATTATTAAACATGCAGAATTATGTAAGTCGCTTTCTGCCTTTTACCCAGTGTTAAAAATTAAGAGCCTGGATGCAAAAAGCACTGCTGTCTGACTAAATGCCTTTTAAGCATCACAAGTTTCTAAACCTGTCCTTTTCAGTGACTGGCATAATTAATTACACAAGCTGCTTCCAGAGACCTCAGAAAGCTTATCTGTCTGCGGATGTTTCTTTCTTTCTTTAATCAGTGGGGGCCAGGGCTCCAGGAGCTGTGATCTCTGGCTGTGGAGTTCATTTCCTGTTAAAAAGCCGAAAGCTGTCAAGCAGAATCCAAGAACTGTTATCTGAAGAGAAATTTCAGAGCC